TTATTATTTTTATTTTACATGTATGAGTATATTGCCTGCATGTATGTGAGTGCACCTGTGTCATGCAGTGCCAGAAGAGGGCTCCGATTTCCCCTGGAACTGGAGTTAAGGATGGTTCGTAGCCGCCATGTGGGTGCTGGGAATCAAACCCAGGTCCTCTGCAAGAACAATCAGTGCTCTTAACCGCTGAGCCATCTCTCCCCCTCACTTGGCTTTTTTATGGGTTCTGGGGCTCAAATTCAGGTCCTCGTGATTGCAGAGCAAGGACTTTACCGACTGAGCCATCTCCCCAGCCCTAGAACTGATTGTTTATTGCCAGAAGGAGACAGTAAGATGGAGGAGATTAGGGGCTCTGCCTGATACACTTGCTGTTCTTTAGCCCTAGCTTCCGTCTGATGAAGATGGCTCAGCTGCTGGCAACATTTCTGAGCAAGGGCAGAATGGCAGCTCTGATGGAGGAGCACTGTCAGCCACAAAAGAAGCCTGGCTTCCCCCTGCTCCAGGAAACACTGCTCAGCAAGGTTGTGGGCTTGCCTGATCACTTAGGCAACCATCTACAGCAGGACAACCTGACCCAGTTCTTCCCCCAGAACTACTTTCCTCTGCTTGGCCAGGAGGCTGTGCGGGCACTCCAGGCAGTTGTGGACTTTCTCCGAGGTGAGTACCTTGCCTCAGCATCCCTCTTGACCTTTCTCCTTTCCCTCCCCTGTAGTAAGAATCTCAAAGTCAGCTGGGTGTGGTGGCACACGCCTTTAGTCTGAGCACTTGGGAGGCAGAGTGGATCTTTGTGGGTTCAAGGCCAGCTGGGGCTACAGGAGCCCCTGTCTCAAAAAGACAAAAAAAAAAAAAAAGAATCTCAGTGCCTTTGGGGACTTAAGTTGGGGGTTGTGCTATCAGGTAGGTTAGTTGTCCAGGTTCAGACTATAGCAGACTACCCAATACAGTACAGTTTCATTTCTCTTTTGACTTTTGATCTTAGGGAGGTGGCTCTGACCCTGGGTTCCTTTAGTTCTTGGTTGAGTGTTAGGCAAAGCCACCCTGCTTTTCTTGTCAGCCACTTGGATGTCCTACAAGCTGTGCTGTACAAAACGCTCATCCTGGTCCACTGAGGTTACTTCCCTGCTGGGCTGTGCTTGCTTATCTGGTTTTGGGTGTTCACACTGTATTGACTATTTCTGGGTCTGGAGGCAGATGTTCTCCATGAGTGGATCTGGCACTATGGGGGCTGCCTATCACTCACAGATCTCTAGGGACAACCCTGTGGGCTGTCATGTATAGGCCAGTGAGGGGCACTGGCCAGAGCCTTTGCCTATTCCTGCAGCATCATCCCTTCCTTCTCATGCCTGTCTCTTGCACACTCAGGTCTGAGTCATAGCTTAGCTGGAGCCACCCTGGCTGCTTAACTCAGTCTCTCCCTGGTGCTGAGTTTCTACATTGGCTTGTTTTCCATGGGTTCAGCCCAGAACCTTAGGGTTCCTGTTCCCTGTATTCTCGTGACCCCAGATCCTAGGAGGAAGCTGGTCTTCTAGAGTCTCTGCATGGCCCTCACCTGGCCTAAGCCACTGTCTTTCCTAGATTCTGGTGATTTGGGGATTTGGAATGTCTAGATGGTCTGGAAATCCACTTTCTTCCACTCTTAGTGGTACGTTGTAGTCCATCTTTGCAGGATCTTAATTAAACATCTGTCTTTAGGTCATTGTGTGTCTGGCTCCATGTCTTTTTCTGTCTTTTTCATCATCTCAGCTCTACTAGTGGGCTGGTACCACCCCATCTGCTCCTGGTTCTTGAGACAGGCATGAGAAGGAAGAGGTGATGCTGTAGGAACAGGCAAAGGCTCCGGCTAGTCTGCCTCACTGTCCTATACATGACAGCCTACTCTCTTATGGACTCACAATGGTCCTTGTGGGAATGAAGCTTTTTAAGTACATTATTGCTAGATTTTCAAGTTAAAAATGGCCCCATTTAGATTTTGCCTGGTGTTAGATTGAAATGCACATTTGTTCCAAGTGGCTGGAGTTTCCACTGCTGAGTTGGCTTCCAAGCATGAGGTCTCCTCATTTAGTCAGATGTCCCTAATGTCTTTCCTGATGACCTCTTTTACAGTCAGGTCCTGTTTTCTCTTCCAGGTGGCCTAGACTGCTCAGTCTTTTTTGTGTCTCAGGTCCTGGGAAGGGTCTGCATCCAAGGGAGACAGAGTGAGTAGTGCCCACCCTCTTCCCTGACTCTTTCCTCCCTCAGCATCCAGGGAGGTTCCCTTGGGGAAGGGTGAGAATCATTATGCACCCCACATAGTGACAGGTGAGCTGACCCTTCCTCTCAGTAAGGTCCCTCATTTGGGTGTGGCCCTGGGTCTGCCGCTGTTGTTTCTGGGCTTGCCCATGTTTGGAGAGCCTATGGGGCCATGGACACTAAGCATGCTATTGGTTCCTGACTGAGTGCAACTGAGGTTCAGGGTCTCTTATGTTCCCTTCAGAGGAGATCCTGGGTGTGCTAGTGCCCCAGCTGACAATGCTCACCCAGGACAGCTGTCTGTGGCAAAGGGTGTGTTGGCACCTGGTGGAGCAAGTCCCTGACCGAGCAGTGGAGGCTGTGCTGACGGGACTTGTAGAGGCTACTCCCAGGTAAGCAACCAGGTGCTTCTCCCAGCCAGTGCTTTCTTGGGTGGTGGGGTAGACCTTTCATGGCTACCATTCCCTGTGCAAATCTTCTGGGGGCCACACTAGAGCCCATGCCCTGTGTATTTTCAGTGGCCAGTCTTCCTTAGCATTGCTGTTTCATGCTGGCCACTGTGAGCCCAACCCCCACCCTGTGCCTGTCATACTATTTTTCACAGTGGTCTCACTGCACATTTGTGCATCTCCGACACTGGGACTTTCCAGCCCACATGCTTGGCCATTGAGCTGTATCTGGGCTCTGTCTCTTACACAGAGTCCAGGTACTGACCCCCTTCTGTTTACAGTGTCTGTGGAGGTCAGTGTGTGGGTCACATTGCTGGAAGCAGGACTACTGGGCTGGCTGAATGCTGTGAGCACATTGCCAGCTCACCTGCCTTTAAACCTCTCCCAGTGTCTATCTCTGTACAAAGTGGCACCTCAGTATTGACTTTGCATTCTTTGCTTCTGGGTATGGGCGTGGGTTAAGACATTTCTCACTGTGAATATTTACTGATATCCTTTGCTTATGTGCATATTGGGTTCCTGTTGTGTTTGTCAAAGCTTTCCCTATAAGTTCTGGGCTCTTTCCTGAGGGATTCCACTAAGCTTGGGCTTTAAAGACGTCCTGCCCACTGTTGAAAGCACTTCACACCAGAACATCACTTAAGAGTTCTGTGGGGGATTTTTGATGTTTTTGAGGATGGCCTTGAAATCTTGATCCCTCTGCTTTTGCCTCCCAAGTGCTGGGTTTACCAGTACAAAATGTAGGTTCACTTTAGGTTCTGAATTTTCTCTGTTCTTTGAGCTGTTTCTTGGTTACTCCTTCTCTATGCTAAATTAGCTTTATTTATGATAGTTTACATGGGTTTTCTTTCTCAAATTTTTGGGGTTCCCCCTTTCTTTTTTAAGCCTTTATGGCTTTAAACATTTTTTAAACTTTTGTATGTGTGTGGAGGTGAGTGCATGTGTATGTGGGTACATGTGTACATGTGTACAGGCATGTAGAGACCAGATGTCAGCCTCAGGTTTTGTTCCTCAGGAGCTGTCCACCTTGTTTTTGAGATAGGGTCTCTCACTGAACCTGGCCAGCAAGCCCCAGGGATCTTCTTGTCTCTCCTCCCCCAGTTCTGGGATTATAAGTATGTACTCCTATCCCTGGCTTTTTTTGTTTTTGTTTTCTGAGACAAGGTGTATACCACCACTTCTGGCAACTAAACATTCTTTCAATGCAGAATTTTCTTTCCGACATTTTACTACCATAAGGATTCCAGAATCTTTGCAGCATTTGGTAAAATCTTCAACTTGTTTGGAACACCTCTCTGGCCTTTTCTCCCATTATTTTTGGGATCAGAACATCTTTTTCAACATGTTTGAGATGCTGCTCTGCAGGGTCCAGTGCCATCTCTGTTGGTGGAGAAGGAGGCAGCTACTCCGGCTCGGGCTGAGGCCAGGGCGGGGTGGGAGGAACCTAATAAATGTAATTTTTTAAAAGTAATGAGTGAAGAATAAATCCTGCTGTATCTCTCTCTATTCATGTGGCTGAGAGGTTGGCCAGAGTCTCACTTGCTGAAAGAAGAGGATTCTTTTAGTCTAGCTCAGGGTTCTACAAACTGCTATCCTTGGGCCAAATCAGGTTGGCAGTTTTTTGTAAATAAAGTTTTATTGGCACACAGCCATGCCCATTCATTTACATATTATGGCTGTTTTTAGCCACAACCAGAGTTGAGTGGGTTGTCTTGGAGAGCAACTTGTCAATTTAAAAAGCATGTATCCCCCAACACTTGCAGCAAAGGTATGCTACACTGCCCTAGAGAAGCATGCATCCTTGGCCTTGGTTGTTGAAGGGCTCCCCCAAGCTTCCACAGTGAGCAAGTGGCAGGGTCCAGGGCACTAAAATGTTTGCTTTTCCCTGTCCTCTGAGGCCAGCTTGTGACTTGGGCCCCTCCTACCTCTGCCTTACAGGCCTGAAGTCCTGTCACGACTACTAGGGAACCTAGTGGTGAAAAATAAGAAAGCCCAGTTTGTGATGACCCGAAAACTTCTGTTCCTGCAGTACCGATACACGGTGAGAAACTTGGGCAGGATGGGGGTTGCAAGTTGCCCAAGTCACAGGAAGAATTCTTATTAAATATGGAGTAAGGGACACTTGAGAGGTAGAGGCAGGAGCATCAGGAGTTCAGTACTATCCCCAGCTACATAGCAAGTTTGAGGCCAGCCTCAAAAACCAAGGGAGGGGGGAATTCAAGTGTGTGCTCAGCATGCAAGGCCCTGGTTCTATCCTTGGCACAACAGGAGAAAAACAAAACAACATAACTGAAAAAATGCAGTTAGAGAACAGTTGCTTAGGAAATGTCAGTGAAGTGGTGGGCCCATCCTGTGATCCAGCCACCAAGTGAGTATGTCTCATATCTCTGGCTCTTCTTTACTGCCCAGCAAGGTACCCTCACCAGCTCTCTTCTGTGCATGAGGAGTTGATAGATCAGTATCCAGAGGCTGTGTGCCTCACACAGGATTGCCACTGTCCGTGTGCCCTGGAACTCAGGCTGTGGTTCAGGGCTGGCCAGCAAATCAAAGCAAGTGAGAGTGTGAGGAACAGGGCATAAGCAGAGTTAAATGGACAGCAGAGGAACAGAGAGGACTGGGGCCCCTGCATCCTCCTGACTCACCTTTCATTCACTCTGTTTCTTGGATGCCCTCTGTAAGCTGAGCTCTGTCCTGGGAACTGAACATCTGTTATGGGCAAAAGAGCCTTTTCCTCCTCCTAAGTTCATGTTACATGAAATGAAGGAGACATTGTCCAGATAGGCCATTTAATATATAGTGTGTTGTGGCAGATGCTAACAGTACCAGGAAGCAGTTAGGGTAGGGTTGTGACTTGGAAGGAGAGGCCTGACTCTGAGAGGGACTGTCTGGGAGTGGCCAGAGGCCTCGGAATACTGGGTTACCAGTGAGCTAGCATTCTGGCTGTCTAGGTTGGTCTGAGCTGGTAGCAGATCTCTCTGGTAGTCAGAAAACAGAGGAGGTGATGCTTGGCTGATTGGGGTTGGGTGACTGAAGGTTTGAGCAGAGATGAACACACGGGATTCATTCTGGCTTCTGTGCAAAGGATCAGGGTGTGAGGAGCCAGAGTTGAACTGAAGTAACTCCCACCATTGCATGCAGTGAAGCTGGGGGAGAAGCCCTGGAAATTCCTCTGGGTGACATGAACTGGCATCTTGGGTATAGCTGCAGTGTGTAGAGAAGGAGGGTGGAAGATACTTTAACTTCTTAGTTAGCTTCCAAAGAGACAGGTGAACAAAGAGGAGAGATGACTCCCATAGACCCCTCATGAAAGAGCAGCCAACATGTCCTTCCCTGAACCCAACTGCTCAGTGTTTCAAGTCTTTAAATCATAAGTCAGTCAATAGGATGAGGCCGCAAACCAAGAACTGCAGGTGCTAGAGTGAACTTCCTGTGGTTATTCTTGGATGCTAAGGCTGTTGAGCTAGAAGTAGTTGTGAAAGAGTAACTTATGGGACTGGTGAGATAGCTTAGCTGTTACAGTTCTTGACATGCAAACATGAAGACCTGAATTGGAGCCCCAGAACCAATGTAAAAAGCTGGGCATGGTGGTGCATGCCTGTAATCCCAGCACTGGAGAGGAGGAGACAGGCAGATCCTGGGTCTCATGGCCAGCCAACCTAGCTAAATTGGTAAGTTTTACCACTGTCCCATTGAGACCCTGTCTCAAAAAAACAAGTTAGTGGAGAGATGGCTCAGTGCTTGAGAGCACTTGCTCTTTCAGAGGACCCTGGTTCGATTCCCAGCACCCACATGGCAGCTAACAACCATCTCATACACATAAAATAAAAATAAAATATTTTATAAAAGAGAAGTTGGACATCTACTGAAGAATGACACCTGAGGTTGAGCTCTGCATACATGAACACACATGCAACCCATGTGTACACAGAGAGAGAGAGAGAGAGAGAGAGAGAGAGAGAGAGAGAGACAGAATAATGTTAACAGTTTTACCATACACTGTTAAAACAAGAAGCCTGAGACCAAACCAGATGCACAGTAAGAAGAACAACCTGGAGCTGATTATGACAGATTTGCTCTATGTGAAAGCAGGAGAGAGAATTAATGGGGTGACAGGAAGATTCACTACATCAAAAACTGAACAAGAAAAGAAAGGGAAATGTGAGTAGAGAATGGTATCTAAATTGAATGTGGTAGCTCAGTGTCTATCATTCCAGTATGAGAGAGGCTGAGGCAGGACTGCCATGTGCTTGAGGTAGCATGGCCTACATAGTGAGACCCCCATCTAAAAAAAAGAAAATGGGGCTGGAGAGATGGCACAGCGGTTAAGAACACTGGTTGTTCTTGCAGAAGATCCAGGTTCAAATCCCAGTACCCACATGGCAGCTAACAACTGTCCTAACTCCAGTCCCAGGGGATCCGACAGCCTCTTCTGACCTCCGTGGGCATTGCATGACACGGGTGCACTTAACCTAAATGCAGGCAATACATGCATACACATAAAATAAAAATAAAATAAAATGAAAAGAAAACAGAAAAAAGGGCTGGAGAGATGGCTCAGCAGTTAAGAATGCTTATTTTGCAGAGGACTCTGATTCAGTTCCCAGCACCTACACTAGATGACTCACAACCACCTGTAACTCTAGTTCCAGAAGATCCAATACCCTCTTCTGGACTCTTACATACACATAGTAGACATAAATTCATGTAGGCACACATAAATCTTAAAATAGGAGAACCTGGGTGTGGTGGCACATGCCTTTAGTCCCAGCAAAGGAAGGCGGATCTCTTTGAGTTCATGGCCAGCCTGGTCTACATAGTGAGTTCTCAAAAGACCAAAGAAACAAAAAAACCCAAGAAGAAAGGGATAGAATCTAGATCTAAAAATCCTATCAAAAGGAAGATGTCCAGGGACTAGAGAGTTAGCCTAATAGTTAAGAATAATGGCTGTTCTTGCAGAAGAACTGGGTTCAAAACATAGCACCAATGGCAGCTAATTCCATAACTCCAGTTCCAGGGGATCTGATGTCCTCTTCTGTCCTCTGTGGGCACTGCATGACATGGGTGCACTTACATACATGCAGGTATAACACTCATATTAAATTTTAAAAATTATTTTATGTGTATGAGTGTATTGCCTGCATGTATGTAAGTGCACCCATGTCATGCAATTCCCATGGAGGTCTGAAGGAGGCGTCAGATCCCCTGGAACTGGAGCTACAGATGGCTGTTAACCACTGTGTGGGTGGTGGGAATTGAACCTGGGTCCTCTGCAAGAGCAGTCAGTGCTTTTAACCATTGAGCCATCTCTCCAGCCCCCAGTTTTTTTTTTTCTTTTTTTGGCCTTTTTTCAGACAAGGTCTCCTTGTAGCCCCAGCTGTCCTGGAACTCACTATGTAGACCAGGCTGGCCTCAAACTCACAAAAATCTGCCTGTCTCTGCCTCCCAAGTGCTGGGATTAAAGGCATGTACCACCATGCCCGGCAATTTTTTTTTTTTTTTTTTTTTTAAAGGAAGATGTCCAAACAAAATTGCCACAGGGTGGAGCACATTGTGCTGGCATGCACCATGTATCTGGGCTATGAAACCCAGCATTGTATGTGTTCTCTACCATGAGAGCCAGAAAATGTATTTTGTAAATAACTCAGTGACAGTTTTCAAGTTCTGCATGAAATGGAAAGTAGAAAAATTATGTGCTGAAACCTGTGTGTGCTGAGAGAGAGTGAGCTGGAGAAGCCAGCCCTCTTGTTCTGTAGGAGGGTGAAGCTTAGTGGCCCCTGCACTCACCGCCCTTTATGCAGTTCCCCTAGTTTAGCCCAGTTCCCCCCTCATTCTTCTTGGGTCTTTCTAGTCCCCTGGAAAGCTCCCATGGGGCAGGCAGAAGGCTGTCTTTGCCTGGTAGACAGGATCCTGCTTTTGTTGTAGACACCCATGTTGCAGAGTCTCTTGGGATATCTGGCCATGGACAGCCAGCGGCAACCACTCCTCATCCAAGTAAGTACCACTTGTCCCTCCAGCCCTCTGGTAGTCCTGGGAGAAGGGCAATTGAGGGACCATTTTCAGATGGGAAGGACAGGGGTCCAGCCTTGATCATGTGGAGCCCCTTGGGGTAACTGTGTGTTCTGGCTAGCCCTGAGACCTGTATGGTTCTGGACCGAGGTACAGTTGATGCTTAAACAGGCTGGGGCTGTGCTGCCTGCCAGGTGCTGAAGGAACTGCTGGAGACGTGGGGCAACAGCAGTGCTGTCCGGCACACACCCCTGGTGCAGCAGCGGTACATCAGCACGGCCATCCTTATCTGTTTGGCGTATCTGAAGGAATCAGAGCTTCAGGACATCCGGGATGGTGAGAAGGCTGTGGCATGGATGCATTCTGCCCCTGGAGTCCTGAAGAGCTCCTCAGGATTTGTGTCTGGTGCTTCTAGAATTGCTGGCTAGCATGATGGCAGGAGTGAAGTGCCGCCTCGACAGCAGCCTGCCTCCTGTGCGCCGCCTGGGCATGATTGTGGCTGAGGTCATCAGCTCCAAGATCCACCCTGAGGGGCCTCTGAAATTCCAGGTTGACAGGTGTCCCTCCTATGTGACAGTACTCTGGGTCTCCCTGGCTGACATACCTCCATCATAGTACCTCACTTTAGTGTCTAGGCTTGAAGTATCCTATGTTGGCCACACTAAGTACCAAGCCTTGAGGTGTGGGGCAGGTGTGACTTCAGCTCCTGGGGGTTGGGGTCTCTGTGTGGTTAGGACCAAGTGCATGAGCACTTACTCCCTAATTAGACCTCATTAGATAGAAGTGTGAAGTCATGGTAAAGGAACCACTGCCTTGGGGTGGGTCTGCTATGGGCTGTTGGACCTGGGCCCAGTGTACAGCAGGGGTTTTTTGGACTGGTAGTATAGGGGTGGCCTCTGCTGCCCACTTACAATGGGTACCACCAGCATGGACAGCATGGACCTCTGACTGTATTGAGCCCTCCTTGGCTTCACTGGGTGCCAGTATACTTTCTACTGAGACTTGCCCTTGAGGGCATCACTCAGTCTTGAAGAATGGGGTGGACTTTCGTCTCAGCATACCTAACACCATGCTCAGCCTAGAGTGGACACCTGGTAGCTGGTTTAGAAAAGGCTATCTGAGGACAGGCTGCTAAATGAAATTGAATGGTGTGAGAAGAGGGCTGGCTTTGGTTGTCCCTCAGTGGTGAGGTGGCATCTGTAGCCTCTGGGCATCACTGACTCCAGTGTATCTGCAATAGTACGAAGATGATGAGCTGAGCTGTGAGATGCTGACCTTGGCCACCCCCCGGCTTGCGGGTGACTGCTCCTCTGAGGCAGGGTAAGGGTCTCCACATTCCCAGTCCTCATCTTGTATCCTTTTGGAGAGAAGGGAGAGATAGGTACAGAATAGGAGCCTCTCTGTGGGTTATGTGGTACTCAAGGCTCACCTGGATCACCCTGGCTGCTTTCTGTTTCCTAGAGGCCCATCACTGGCTCCTGTTGCTACAGAAAGGTCTGAACAGACTATGGACAGCAGTGCCCCCCCAGCTCAGCCACAGGGCTCTGACTCAGAGCTAGACAGGTAGGGAAGGGTTCCTTGGTCTCTGTGGGCCCAAAGACTGACTGAGGTGGCACTGGAGTTCACATGTGGGGGTGAACTGACTACATGTGGAAGAGGTGCAGCTTGTATGGGTATGGATTTCCCAGCATTCTCCTGCCAGTCTGAAGTATGCACCTGGGTTGTCAAGCAGCAGCCTTCCCATGTGGCCCTCTCCTATGAGTCAGGGTCTTGGGAGTAAATTTCATTATCTTCGGGTCTTACCTTTAAGGAGTCAAAAGCAAAGGGGTACCCAAGTTCTCACTGGGGATGGGCAGTTCCAGTGTCTGTTTCATCTTGTTACAGTGATGATGAGTTCACCCCCTATGACATGTCAGGGGACAAAGAACTGAAAAGCAGCAAGGCACCCCTGTATATCCGAGACTGCATAGAAGGTGGGCTTTACTGGGGTCCTGGTGTGCTTACTCCACAGTGGCTTGTTCTGAGGGATGCCTGGGCCTAGCCTTCCTTACCTTGTCCTATAGCCACCTGCCAGGCCTTATGATACTCTGGGCACACTGGGGTCAGGGTCAATGCTAAGACTGAGTGAGGCTCATCTTGGTTTTGTACAGCTCTGACCACATCTGTGGACGTGGAACACTGGGAAGCAGCCCTGCAGGTGCTTGAGGGCTTGATTTACAGGAGCCCTGAGGCCACTAGGGAGGTAAGCAGTAAGTGGGTGTGTAAGAACAAGCTAGAGAGGTTGGGCAGTCCTGGGGTGGCAGGTCTCCCTGTGGCATCTGTATCCTGAGTCTTATAGGAAGGTGCTGTCTTGCTAGTTGGGCAGCTAGGGCTAAAGGCACTCCAACTTCTGACCTCTTACAGGTGAGTGTGGAGCTGGCCAAGGTGCTACTGCACCTAGAGGAGAAGACCTGTGTGGCAGGGTTTCAACAACTGCGCCAGAGAGCTCTGGTGGCTGTCACAGTCAAAGACCCAGCACAGGTGAGTCCAGCATGGTGACCCTGGCCAGAGCAGGAGCATTAGAAAGCTTTCTGTTGCCCCCAGGTTGGCTTTAGTACCTAGAAGTTGGGCCATTGGATGATCTTGGAACCCTGGCACAGTGGCCTCTCCTTTGCCTGCTTAGGTAGCCAAGTATCTGACTTCTCAGTTCTACAGCCTGAACTACAGCCTCCGGCAGCGCATGGACATCCTGGATGTAAGTGCCTTAGACCCCTGTCCTCCATCAGGCCCAAGCTGCCCTAAGGTGGGGAGTTGACCTATGTGGACAGTGGCCAAAGGTCTCCCCAAGCCTCCTTGATGGGGACTTGAGAGGCAGAAACTCTTCTGTCTATTGACAACAGGTTTACCAGTATGGGGCTGGGGATCTGGTGGTAGTGTTTATTGTTTATACGGCTTTAACATTTTTGTGTGTGTGTGTGTGTGTGTGTGTGTGTGCGCGCGTGTGTGCGCACGCAGGCATGTGTAAGTCACAGGACAACTTTGAGGAGTCAAGTCCGTTCTCTCCTTCTATGGGTTCTGGGGATTAAACTCAGGTCATCAGCCTTTTTTTTCTCTTTTGGTCTTTTTTGAGACAGGGTCTCCCTGTAGCCCCAGCTGTCTTGGAGCTCACTATGTAGACCAGGCTGGCCTTGAACTCACAGAGATCCGCTTGCCCCTGCCTCCCGAGTGCTGGGATTAAAGGTGTACATGATGCACCTGAGTAGCTAGGATTATAGGCCTATACTATCAAAGAATGAACCATCTTGAGCTGGATTTGGTGGCTCATGCCTGTAATCTCAGCATTTGGGAGGCTGAAGCAGGGGGATTGCTGTACATTCAGGGCCATTCTGGGCTATGTTATAAGACTTTGTCTCAAGAAAATGCAATGCAATGCACCATCTTAAAGAACTATGTGATGACATTTAGAACTTCCCAGCTATGCCTCATCACCTGTCTAGTTCCAGAACATTGGCACCATCCCCAAAGTGATTCCCCAGTCCCTGCCCTCCATCCTGCTGTCTATGGATTTGCCTATTTTGGATGCTTCATATAAATGGAGCAGGGAGCTGTGTAGTCTTTTTGCGATAGGATTCCTTTGCTGGGCATGATGCTGTTGAATTCTTCCACATGTGGACATGTAGACTTCATTTGTCCTTTTTAAAAAAATTTTATTGAGCTGGGCGTAGTGGCACATGCCTTTAATCCCAGCACTTGGGAGGCAGAGGCAGGTGGATCTCTGTGAGTTCAATGCCAGCCTGGTCTACATAGTGAGTTCCAGGACAGCTGGGGCTACAGGGAGACCCTGTCTCAAAAAAGACCCCCCCCCCAAAAAAAATTGAGTTTTTGCAAATTTCATATATTTTGATCATATTTAGACCTTCTCCCCTGTAACTGCACCCTTTTTATAGCCTCCCCTGCTGGATTTCATGTACTCGGCCATATACATTAAGGCCTATCTAGTCAAATTTGTGTCCCCAAATACTCTTTGGGTATGGGTTCATCCACTGGAGCCTGGTTAACCTACCGAGCATCACACTTTTTTTTTTTTTTTTTGGTCTTTTTGAGACAGGGTCTCCCTGTAGCCCCAGGTGTCCTGGAACTCACTATGTAGACCAGGCTGGCCTTGAACTCACAGAGATCTGCCTGCCTGTGCCTCCCAAATGCTGGGATTAAAGGTGTGTGCTACCATGCCTGGCCCAGCATCACACTCTTAAAGAAAATTGACTCTCCTTCTCCCAACGATTATCAGTTCCAATAGTTCTGCAGCTAAGGTTGGGGCGTCTTATCCATTTCTCCACTTCTGTGTTGGAATTTTGTCCGGCTTGAGCTTGTGTTGTCCGTCCGACCATTCGTCCATACGTGTGTGTGTGTGTGTGTGTGTGTGTGTTTCCGTGTTTCCTTTCATTTATCTTTCCATGTGGTTGAATTCCTGGGGGTAGGGAGCAAGGTGGAGGGTACTGGAACTGGGTGAGCATTAGGAAATGTGATGCATTGGTCCCAGCACTCATTGCAAGGATACACTAGCTCACTTTCCGACCTGCCCTTTCTAGAAAAGTGCAGAGATTCAGAGGTACTTGGAGATAACTCTCTGGAGCTTTCAGGATATAAACTACAAGGGCTTTGTGGTTACTTGGCTGCTAACCTACTTTTAGAAGACATCCTTTCCCAGAGTCATATACTGCCCTAGGTCTTTTTTCTCCTTTAGGTCCTGACTCTGGCTGCCCAGGAGCTCTCTCGGCCAAGGCACCTCCAGAGGCCTCCCCAAAACAGTTCCCCTGGCTCTGTCACTCAGTACTCACCAGCACTGGCCATTTCTCAGCCTGGTGATGCTGCAGCTCCTGACTGGCGGGTAGTTGTGGAGGAGCGGATCAGAAGCAAGACCCGGCGGTTTTCCAAGGTGGGACTCTGTTCAGGTCCTTGCAGGCATGGGGCTTTTGTTCTGTGGGTGGCAGGATGAACCGCCAGACTTCCTCTGGGTGTTGTCTGTTTTGAGGGTAACCCAATCTTAAGCAGAGTCAGCTCCAGTGTTGGTGTTTCTTGGAATGAGTATGTACAAACTAAGGCAAGTCAGACTAGCATGATTTTAAAACATGGAAGTGAAAAGGTCTCAGTAGCATCACATCAGAAACAAATAAATGATCCTGGGATTATAACAGTGTCTGGAGAGTTTGAGTTGGAGACCAGACTATTCAACATGCTACAGTGCACAGGCCTTTCCATAGTGAAGAATGTCTAGCCCTGAATAGTTAGTGTGCAAGGTTGGGACCCTTTGCTGTCAGGCCATAGCCTGAGATTCAGTGCCCACTCCACAGGGTCCTGGGACCTGGGTAGGCCTGGTCAAGTTGAAGGTCTCCATAGCTTCTTGGCCCAGAATTATACTGTGATGAGTGCTGTGTGTTTTGCAGGGCTGTCCTTGGCAGGAGCTATCAAGTAGCCCCAATGAATTCAACTCTGTGGCTGGTTACTTCTTCTTTCCTCTCCTTCAGCACTTTGACAGGTAAGATTTCTGGAACTTTAGACACACTCCAGTGGACAGTAGCTGTTATAAGATAGGGTATTAAATATGAACTTGGGATAGGAATGTGTTTGTATTAGTCAGGATTCTCCAAAGAAACAGAACCGGTAGAATGAATATGTATAGAGATTTATCAGCTTAGCTCACAGGATAGAGTCCGAGTAGTCCAACAATGGCTGCACCATACTGGAGAGGCTGAGAATCTGTAGTCGCTCAGTCCACAAGGCTGGATGTCTCAGTAGTCCCAATCCAGTGCTGAAGGTCTGACAAATTCCAAAATATCAGCTAGTCTTCAGTCTACAGCAGCAAGACGAACTCACCAGTGAGAGAGAAGGCAAGCCGCAAAAAGCGGGCTCCTCTGCCTTGGTCTTTTATACCAGCTGCCATCAGAAGGTAACGCCCACATTTAGGGTGTGTCTTCCGGCTTTAGATGATCCAATCAAGAAGATCTCTTTCATTTCAGTTAATCTCAGATCAAATCAAATTGACACCCAGGGTTAGCCATCACAGTGTTGCTTTGTAAACTTGAGTTAAATGATATGGAATATTTGGAAGGTCTCTTTGCCATTGAGTTTTGTGGTGATGGCATTAGTCATCACTGTCACTATTCTTTGATCTTAGGTTTATGGGGGGGTGCTGGTGGTGCTGTCAGTGGTACCTGGCCTGCTGTCTACCCTTTGTTCACCTCTTCCCATCTCTGCAGGGCTGAGTCTTGTCCCATATTCAGCCTGAGATCTTGGTGACAACACAGGGTATGCTCCTGACTTAGGGCCTGGTAGATATAGTGTACTGAAGCATTTGGAAATGCCTTCTTGCAGCTATCCTTTGCCACATTAGGCCAGGGTGGTGAAGGTGGGAGAAGGAAAATGTGAGCCTGCAGGTATCTGGGTCTCTCTCAGTGGCCTTCTCTCTGGGTTCTCATTGGCCAGTGAGTAGATGCTAAGGCTGCCCCATTCACTCAGTTTTGTGTTGTAGGCCGGTGGTGACCTTTGACCTTTTAGGAGATGACCAGTTGGTTCTTGGAAGGTTGACCCATACCTTAGGGTCCCTGATGTACCTGGCTGTTAACACCACAGTGAGTTGGTTGGGAAATGGGAACCGAAAGCCCCACCACATGATATTCATAGCAGTTCAGTTTGGGAATAGCCTCCTCCTATGTTCACAGGGTAGGACCTGAACTCTTTGTGACTTGTCTATCCCCCACCTGTGGGCAATGGAGGATGATCATCTTCCCCTCCTTTGGCCCTGGGGACAGGCCTATACAAAGCTCCACAGAGGTACTACATGAGTCCCTCATCACAGAAGGAGCTACCCAATAGTAGAATCCCATTTTTGGTGCCAGTATGGAAAATGAGCACAATGAACCCCCTGACCAACTGTTCCTCTGTTGGCTTCCAGGTAGCTGTGCCCATGGGCAAAGCCCTGCTGGAGTTCGTGTGGGCCCTTCGCTTCCATGTTGACACGTGAGTGGCCCATGGGGCTAAGAGCAGCACAGGGTCTCTGAGGCAGCCTGGACTGTTGTTTCCTAAGCAAGGAATGGCCAAACGGCTGGAGTTAGCTTTGCTATAGGTTGACCTGCTGGATGGTGTATGTGGGAGGCCTCCATTTACAAAGCTACACCTCACCTTCTCCACCCTCTTGCTTGGTAGTTATGTGCGCCGGGGCTTGCTGTCTGCTGTCTCCTCTGTCTTCCTCAGTGTACCCACAGAGTGCCTGTTGGAGGACTTGCCAGATGAACTGCTGGAAGCCAGGTCCTGGTTGGCAGGTGAGTGAGTGGGCTAGAACACTGTCAGCCAGGTGGGCAGGTCATCCAGGTTTGTGAAGTGGTTAGAGCAGTTGGGGCCAGGCCAGGCCAGCCGGAGTGGGTTTGTCCTTCCATGTTAGCTCTGAGAAGTGTGATGACATGAGTGTGGGAATAAGGAGACAGTCATTATCATGGTCACTTTGCAGATTACTGCATGGGTCCCAACAGAGGTACCTCAGATACTTCAGGCAGGAGCCTGTTCCTTTAGAAGGATCCTAAATCTAGAAAGGTTATATGGAAGTAGAGTGAATGCTGAGAACCTCTAACCAGAACCACCCTGAAATGTTTGCCACCCTTTTTCTCTTACCTTCTATATATATTATTTTAAACTCAATTGTAGACTCTGTGACCCTTCACCCTAGGCCCTGAAACTGGACCTTTTGACGGGCCCTATAACTCTTCTGGAACCCACTGGGAAAAAAACGTAATCAGTCTTAGCTTCCCACCAGTCCTTTGTCATTGGCCCTAATACAGCACTGAGCTGTGGTTCCTAAGGGTCTATAGCTGTCCTACCTTCTAGCCAGGCTTGAGTCCCAGGTATCTTCTGTTGCTTTTTTTTTGGGGGGGGGGGTGTCTTCTTGTGACAGGGTCTTCCTGTAGTCCCAGCTGTCCTGGAACTCACTACGTAGACCAGGCAAGCCTTGAATTCACAAAGATCCGCCTGCCTCTGCCTCCCAAGTGCTGGGATTAAAGGCGTGCACCACCACGCCTGGCCTGCTTTGCTATTTCTAATGGCTAGCTGGTTGACCCAGAGTAGGTCCCACTTATTACTCCCTAAGTTTCCTGTACTTATTAACTATTTGGGGCAATGCCAAGTCCTTTTCAGGATTATATGCTTGAGTCTCTCAGATGAGGGACTCTGGTCAGGATCTTGGGGAGAAAGCTGCCTTTCCTGAGTTGGTGACCTAGGTAGCATCTGATCTGTCATAGTCATGGACTTCTCCCCAGCTTGTTGCCTGCCATAGTGCATGATGTAGCCCATGGCAGTTAATGAACATGGGAAGGCTGGTCTCTTCCTATCCCCTCACACTCAGCACCTGGGCTCAGGTGTAGATTGTATATGCTTTTGTCTTACATAAGAGCTTGTATCTCAGAGAAATGGGGAGAGCACTGGTAGGGCTTTGTGCTGGGGTTTTCCTACCCTTGAGGGAGGGGTAAAGGGTGCCCAGAGCTCCTGTAGATGCCCCTCGGCCATCTCCCTTATAAGCATGCTGACTGCTGACTCACTTGGGATGCTTAGGGTAGCTTCATGCTATGTTCTAAGTTTTCCCTGTCTGAAGATTGGGGTAACCGATGGCAGTGGGATGGGGCAGCCACACCATTTGTAGTCTCTGGGCCTCCTGCTTCCTCAAGACCTACATAGTATTCATCTGAGGACTCTGGAGGGGCAGAAGCATCAGGGCAATGGGAACTCTGGACCTTAGGATCACTGGACCTCAGGATATGCAGGGGCTTTGGGTCAAGAGCAGCCTTGTTTCCACATGGTCAGGGCAGTGAGGAGGGGTGCGGTACATGGTGAGGCACAGTCTCCCCTAGGGTCTTTTTGTCCCAGGAGCTCCTTAGAACATCCCAAGGGGATCCTGGTTTGGTTGCAATGCCATGCCAATAAACACTGTTGGCAGAGCCTCCTGGTAGCTCATTGGGGTTAATGAGGGCCTTTGCATGTGGTGTGATAAAGATGCAGCTCTGTCTTGATAGCCAAGGGACAGCTCACAATTCCAGATCTTGTTCTCTTTGGCCTCCCCAAGAAGGTGACACCTCTGACCCACTGGTAGCAGATGCCTGGCAATGACCTCCTAGGGTCACCTCTGTGGCTGTGGAGGGCCTAGAACCTGCATGTGCACCAAGCTCTCTTCTCACATGGGTGTCCAGAAGTACTGCAGGGGCTCAAGAGAGTTGTCTTCTCTGGCTGGTTTTATTCCAGCCAGTGCTTACGCCACTGGTCTATAAACTTGATCTTTCCCTGATCCCTCCCATTGGAGTATCCCCCATCACCTACCTTCACCAAGGTAGAGAGCCCTTTGCTGGGCATCTGAGGTAGGATCTCAGATGCCCAGCACCCACCTAGTAAGTGGCTCTTTAGGAAAACAGTATGAAGGAGAAGAAATTAAATAGCCCTACAATATTACTAATTTGCTCTTCATTTCTACCTTGGCAGATGTGGCAGAGAAGGATGTGGACGAAGACTGTAGGGAGCTGGCAGTGAGGGCTCTGCTGCTTCTGGAGAGATTCAAAGACAAGCTTCTTCCCATTTCCTCTCCCTAGTCTTGAGGCTTCCCCACAGGGGGTCCAAGTGGACCCTAGGCCATCCCCATTGGAAGAAGGGAAGGCCTTTGAGAAGCAGAGTCCACACAACATCTGGACTTTATGTGGTGGCTAGGTTTGGAGGGGCCATGTGGTATGTCAACCTGGTCCCTACTGTTATTTATAGGCTGGCAAGGATGAGTATTCAGCTAAAAATATTGGAGGGCCTGTGCTGCTGCGTTCCCACAGGACATAGCAGTTGCCTGCTGACCAGAGCTGGGTTTGGGGCTGCTGGGCTCAGGAGGCACTTCCTTCTGAGAGCAGAACCTCAGGTTCTGTGGCTAGGACCTCAAGAATGAGGACAAGGCAGCTCTACTGTGTTCTTGTGGAGATGCCAGAACAGCAGAGCAAGGGCAGTCTGCTGGGTCTTCACAAAAATAAACAGGGCCACAGGTGTCACACAGATTTCCTTTGTGGCTGTCACTGGGCAGGGACTTTAGTTCCTAAATGGATCCTCATGAGGGGCAGCCTTGAAAATGGACAGGAAGAAGCAAAGACCTACGAGAAAATGGACTCTGAGAAAATAAACTTTATTGGATTTAGAGGCATGTGTGCAGTGAATTGTTGGGGCCTGGTATCCCAATCCCTACCCTGGTGATAGAAGGGCACAGCCACCAGGACCAGGCCCACCTTACATGGTCCCTAGTGTGATCTCAGGAGAACTGGGCCCTGTTGAGAACTATCAAGCAATCAACTACGGGCACAGTTCACAGTAACAGGTTTTCCCAAATAACATGTACAGCCTCAGTTCATGAAGTTCTAGAAGTGTCTATTGTTGGGAGAACCCAGGGAAGATGAAACTAGTTCCTTTTAAAAGGAACTAAACCAAAAATCCACAGGAACTGCCGAACACCCAGAGGCAAGAATGCTGAAGGAATGGCTTAAAAACAAATGTAATCTTCCTTCTAAATATAGAAATGAGGCAGATCAAGAATAGCATGCTCCCTCCTGGGCTGTAGCAACTAGACTCCATGTCCTACTGTCCTGCATACAATACAGAAAAAAAAAAGAGCTGCCTCTGATACTAGCAACTAGAAAATTCCAGAAGACCCTTTCCGAGCAGCACAACGATGGCCAGTTTTGGAGACTTGAGGCCTATAAGGGGTCATTTTCTACCTCTTCTACCACCTCTTCATACACTTCCTTATGGTCCTCCATGCTATTGTGGCGGATCCGCTCAGGAATGATTCGGGATAGAGGGAGGCCCAGGCCCTGGTGCACAGTGTCCATAGTGCGTTGGTCCACATAGTATGACATGTTGGCTGAAGGAAGTCTTTTCCGCATCTCTTCAAGATACTTATAGGCCTAGAGCAGAGGTAGGTAACAATGGTCACTTGAAGGCCCAATGGATGTGTCTACAAAGTTACTTGTTTAGTTCACATGAGAACCACGACTATCACCTCATTCATTCATGGTAATAATGTTTCCTAAACATGAGGTCCCAGCTCTCCACCCCCAGGGCCAAGGGAAAATATCCCTGTTTCCAGGTAGGAACAAGGAAGGCCTTCCCTGAGGGACTTCCAAGCATTTGTAAGAGGACTGTTGTGTGGGAGGCCATTGGGTGTTTCAGGTTCTGAATGGCCAACAGTGACAACTATAATTGGTATGGACAGCGGAAAACCAGAATTCTTGAGGGCCCTTTGTCAGCCAGGATATAAGAATTTGATTTGTGTTCTAGAGCTCCATTTTCTCTGGAGTCTGCTTGCCCTGGATGCTTCTAGACACTTACCAAAGGAAAAGCAGATCTTTTTCACACATTTTTGGGGTAGTGCTTGTCAGAACTGAGGTCCAGCAGCAATGTTAATGACTTTGTAAAAATCAAATGTCAGGGCTGGAGAGATGGCTCAGCAGTTAAGAGCACTGACTGCTCTTGCAGAGGACCTGGGTTTGATTCCCAGCACCCACATGGTGGCTACAAACCGTCCTTAACTCCAGTTCCTGGGGAATCCGAAGCCCTCTTCCGACCTCCATGGCATTGCACGACATGGGTGCACTCACATACATGCAGGCAATACACTCATACACATAAAATAATTAAATCAAATTTCTAGCTTATCCCAATTCACCTGGCATATGATAAAAGTTGTCTTCTATTTGAGTAGTCCTTGAACTTGGTTAGCTAACTATAGAACCATCAGTCATTTTCCTGTGGGATTTCTTCTGGTCCTGCACAAAGGAAGCCCTTAGAGCAGTTGGGGGTGGGGGTCTTTGGGCAGGACAGGCCCAGCTAGCATCCTGCAGAGCACCATGTTTATACCTCCCTATACCTGCTTATTATACATGTTCATCTGCATGGAGGGTCTCACACAGGTGGTATAGTGAGGAATCATGTGGCTTCTAGGGCTTACCTCCAAGGTACACATCAATTCAGAATATGACTAAAATGACTAGCAGCTTTTTAAAAATTTTACATGAAGAGTAGTAATGATTAGATATTGTTTCTAGTTGTCTTTTTTCCCAGACAGGGTCTAACTGTGTAGACCACCCTGGACTTGAATTTGTGGTGATACTCCTCCTTCTGCCTCCTGAGTGCTAGAATTAAAGACATGCTACCATGGCTGGCTAGGTCTCAATATTTTTTATTTTTGTTTTTGTTTATTTATTTATTTAATGTGTATGCATGTAGGTAAGTACACCCATGTCATGCAATGCCCATGGAGGTCAGAAGAGACTGTCGGATCCCCTGAGACTGGAGTTACAGACAGTTGTTAGCTGCCATGTGGGTGATGGCATTTGAACCCAGGTCTTCTGCAAGAACAAGTGTTCTTAACAGCTGAGCCATCTCTCCAGCCCCCTATTTTTTGGTCTTTTTTTGAGACAGGGTCTCCTTGTAGCCCCAGCTGGCTTGGAACTCACTGTAGACCAAGCTAGCCTCGAACTCATAAAGGTGTGTGCCACCATGCCTGGCGTCTCAGTGTTTCTTTTTTAAAAAAATTTTTTTATTATTTTCATTTTATGTGTATGCATGTATTGCCTGCATGTAGGTAAGTGCACCTGTGTCATGCAATGCCCACGGAGGTCAGAAGGGGCTGTCGGATCCCCTGGTACTGGAGTTACATACAGTTGTTAGCTGCCATGTGGGTGCTGGGATTGGTCTTCTGCAAGAACAACCAGTGTTCTTAACCGCTGAGCCATCTCTCCAGCCCCTGTCTCAATATTTCTTAAATATGGCAAAACTCTTAGAACAATTTTACTTTGGACACATATAATAGGGAGATGACTATCTGTAAAGGCATACTGTGCTGCTTGACTTGCTCTCTGACATCAAACCATCAACTCATGTCCACAGGCTTCCTTCAGGGCTGGCAGCCAGATGAACTTGCCCAAGGGGATAGAAAAATGCCCTAGGTTGCCTATCAGTGTCAGGTGCCATGCTGGAGAATGAGATATGGGAGAATGAGACATAAGTTCAAAGGATAAGCTTAGGACGGTGTTGAGTCAATGCAGAAACTAAGGGTTGAGATCTAGTAGCAGCAGTGTCTAAGAAAGAAGGAACACTGGAAATGAAGAGGAAAGGACAGACTAGGAATTAAAGGGAAGATCGAGGGGTTTGGAAGAGCTTGTGCACTTGGACACAATCGGGCCTAGTAGGTGCTCCTCCTTAATCTGGAAGATGCCAAGTCAGGCTTTCTCTAAAGATGAAAATGACACTGGGTGTGGTGGTGCATGCCTTTAATCCCAGCACTGGGGAGACAGAGGCAGGTGGATCTCTGTGAGTTCAAGGCCAGCCTGGTCTACATAGTGAGTTCCAGGACAGCTGGGACTATAGGGAGACTTTGTCTCAAAAAAGACCAAAAATAAAAAAGATGAAAATGATGACGCCTGGTTCAGTTCAACAGAGTAGTCACTGGAGAAGGAAAAACTGAGCTTGAAGCAGTAGCCACAGCAGTAACAACAGGAAGCCAATACAATAAGTATAAGTCGAGGTAAGGGACAGTAGATGCAAGCAGTTGGAATTCTGGAAGGAAAGAAGAATGGAGGACTAGAAGCAATTCATGTCCGATATAAGAAATGTATCTAAAAGACAAAGCTAGAGCTGGGCGTGGTGGCAGAAGTAGGCGGATCTCTGAGTTCAAGGCTAGCCTGGTCTACGTAGTTCCAGGACAGCTGGGGCTACAAAGAGACCCTGTCTCAAAAAGACCAA